TGTCAAGCATCTCAAAAGATGAATTTAGACAATGTTTTGAAAAATGGAATAAAAGACTAGACAAGTGTATTAGTGTAAGTGGAGAGTACTTTGAAGGGGATTGAAGGTTTGTGCTTAAAATTTGAATAAATAAGTTAAAAAAAAAATAAGTTCGGTTTCTTTTGGGTACCCCCTCGTATAAGCAATAGGAAAGTAGGCTTTATGAATTCTGCTCAGAGCTCGTTCTTGAAGGACTGTTGTCAAACAAAATAAGACCTACATTGAATGAAATCAGTGTTGCTCCCAGCTCAGATGTTTGCATGGCTCTGATGCCAGGAAATTAAGGAATCAGAAGGTGAGGTAGCCTCTAGTGGCATACTGTTCATGCCAAGTTTAGTGCAATTCCATCATTCAGTTATAAGGTATTAGTGGAGAAAGACAGCTGAGCTTATAAATAAGTAAAAGGCATTATAATACTAAACTGAGGTATGAAAATTCCCAGATGTCAAATGGAAGAAAAAAAAGTTGTTTCTGGTATGTCTCCAACAAAAACTGGCAAATTTTAACACCTGTAATGCAACCATGATAAAACAAGAATTCATAAAACTTATAAAAATGCTCATTATAATGACAACTTGTAATATCCACAGATGGGTTAAAACATAATCCGAAAGCCAATTTTCTAATTACGTATATTAAAGTAAGGCACTAATCTGACATCATATGGTCTCAGTACTGAGTGTCATTAAATAAACAAATTAAAAAAAATTATATGGCAGTATTTATCACTTTGGCACATCAACGAGACGTCTCTCCAGCCATCTGCCTGCATGCAAGAACTTGAGAAGGAGCAGATTTTCAAAAACTTTAATACTGGGGAATTATTGACATGTTCCAGTTTTGTTTAAAAGCACACGACAGTAACTGACACTACATGAAGACTTACATGTCTACTGGGTGTATCTGACATTTAGCTCACTAAATATTTATCAGAACGAAAAATCCTGCCATCAAAATCTGTACAGAAGTTCAAGACATCCCATCACACTTTTCCACAAGTGGGAGGGGGGGAAAAAAAAGCTAACACGCCAAAATTGTGGCACTATGCATACATTTCCTGACAAGTACAGTTTGAGATTCTGATAACAGTGACCATGAAGAATTCTGTGTTCTGGGGTATAATGCTATGTATTCCGTTGAAAATCTGACATTTTGGAGGAACATGTCACCTCCATCTTTGTAGTCAAAGAAACGTCAGTTGTAAGATTTGAGGTTTTCACAGCTGTGATGAAAAAAGCAGTCTTCTAGGATGTGGCACCGTGTAGATGTGGTGTTAACCGACGTTCTGGAGGAACGTATTGCCTCCCTCTTCAGGGTAGAAGGAAAATAAGAAATTCGCAAGCGAGGAGACCATGAGAACCGGTACAAGCAGACTCAGTCTTCTACCCTGAAGATGGAGGCGATACGTTCCTCCGAACGTCTGTTAACACCACATGTACACAGTGCCACATCCCAGAAGACTGCTTTCTTCAAACATCAGTTGATTTGCCAAGGACTACACAGCATTATATCCATCCCAGTATGTTTAATACCTGTAACAGGGTAAGTGGTATTAGTACTATAAAGGATTGCGTCTGGTAGTTTCTGAAAACATTAATATTCTTACTGGATTCTCTTAATATTACAATGTAGAATGCCCATTCTCTAGGTGCACCATTCTTACACTGTATCACACTCTGCAGGTACAGGTGTCCCATCTGTGACAAGGCTTTTGCCCGTATGGATCAACTGAAATTGGTGCACATGCGTCAGCACGAGACCAAGCCAGAGCCTTCCCCTTTTGTTTGTAGAACTTGCCATAAGAGGTTCAGAGTCAAGGGGAAGCTTGAACAGCACCAGATCCTGCACTCAGGTACCGCAATACTGTAAACGAAGGAAGCAGCTGAGCCCCTCCCATCTTGCCACATGAACGCACAGACATTCCTTGCTCAGCTGCACGTTCCTGTACATTTTATTGACCAATTTTTGTTTATATGCAGTTTGCATATTTTCTCATCTGTTGTAACAGCCTTGGCAAGACATGCTGAGACACTGAAGTAACTGTCTTCATTATAGGCCAGAAGAATCACCACTGTCCAATCTGTGATAAAGCTTTTGCATTAGATGTGTATCTGAAATCACATCTGAAGACGCATAAGAAGCAGGATGGCTACATCCAGTGCCCAAAGTGCGCTCGAAGATTTGCTTCTGAAGAGACATTACAGGTAGTTCAAAAGTTCAAATAATATGAAATTCAACAGACATCACTAATATGTGCTGGTGCATAACACTTCAGGTTCAACATCAGTAATTAGCAACCTCTGATTTAATATTAGTCTTCATCCATAATTAAACTAAGACAATGGAAAGAAGTCCCATGGAATGATGCCCTCCACATCTTCGTGAAGCTCGTATCCCCTCCAGTTGTCTAGTCTTCTGTTCACGTGAATGTTGGTTGAGACCTTTGTTAGTAACAAGCAGTCTAGGCTGGTTGATAAAGCCAGAGAAGCTGGAGAGAAACGCTACAGAAGACAGAGGGAAGGAAAGCCTGGTGCACCATCCACACCATCAGTGGAACTTCTTTCCATGGCCTCAGTATAGTTTCACGTGACATTACAAAGAGGCATCTCTCCATCAAATTCTTGTATGCACATCACATTTTCTCCCAGTATGCTGCATGCCCACCGTGCCTTAAAATAGTCCATACTATGTATTCCTTTATTGTGGTAAGTTATTTATTGAACTGGAAGAGAAATCTCATACTTTACAGTTCATCTTTGCATTCACATAAGCCCTTTACTTCACCCCATCCTATTCACATCTTCGTAGCCTGTTTCACCATCTTGCCCTAACCAAACTGACCATTAAGCAAGTAAAATGCATATCATGAAGGGAATCAAAAATGTTCTGAATATGATGGATCCTCACCTGTTCCAGATCCATGATGACAGGTTTCATGTCAGAATGCAGAGAATTGCAAAGCAGTCCAGAGACGGGAACAAAAAGAAGCATAAAAAATTGAGTGTACTCCCAGACACGGCCCTGCTGGAGCCTGAAATAGACATCACAGATATGGATGCAATAGGGGCAGTCAGCCTCCTGGAGGAGGGAGATGACATCCTTTCGGACAAGTGTAACACTGTCGTCTATCTGCAGATGGTGCCAGACCTTGATTTGTCTCTCAATAACGACACCTCAGAGTAATATCATGCAAGGTCAATAAACAGAGATTCATCACATCATCTTGAGGTATTGATATGTTCCCTTCTTGTCCACTTTTTTCCTTGCCAACTACCAGAGCCTGAAGACTCAGCACTGCTAATTCTAAAGCTTACCATGGGACATGATCCTGAGCCAGCTCTACCCACCTCCCATCCTCACAACCTATTTCCCTAAGATCCAACTTTACTAATTAACTAACTCTCTGGTAGTAGAACCCAAAGGTTCAACACCGCTAATACTAAATCCCTCCATTTAACACGATCCTGAGCCAGCTCTACCCACCTCCCATCCTCACAACCTATTTCCCTAAGATCCAACTTTACTAATTAACTAACTCTCTGGTAGCAGAACCCAAAGGTTGAACACCTACAAATTGTTACACTCGACAGACTTTCTATTAACTTTGTACCGCTAATACTAAATCCCTCCATTTAACACGATCCTGAGCCAACTCTACCCACCTCCCATCCTATTTCCCTAAGATCCAACTTACTAATTAACTAACTCTCTAGTAACAGAACCCGAAGGTTCAACACAGCTAATACCAATGCTCGCCATTTGATGCAACCCTGAGCCAGTTCCATCTATCTCCAATCCTCACAACTTATCTCCCTAACAACCAGCATACTAAAGAACAAACTCTCTGGATCAGGGTAGAAATTGGGGGCAGAAGGTTCCGCTGAAGTGTTAGTATATGTCTGTCAGTCTACAAGGCATCACTTCACAGAAGTGAGGTTGCAAGTTTGCAGTTTCAAAACTTTGTAAATGGAAGCAGGGTGAAGTAACCGAATTCTTCTTCAAGGAATGAGGAAGGAATCTCAGGATAGTGAGTCCTAAGTACGATTCAAACTCAAACACCCCACTCAGTCACTTTCAGTTATCCTGGTACAAAAAAACAGGATGGACCCCAGTAACAGAATCCAAAATAGTAGGTTCATAAAGCTTTATTACGAAACTTACTTAAAAGGCATGTGCACCAATTAAACAAAACTTTCAGAATATTCAAAATTAGCATGCAAAATTAGAAAAACAAACTCACTACAACTTGTTATCTTTGAACAGTGAGGAACAGGTATGTTAAAAGGAATGAAGCGTGGATTTCATCCTGTAATATCACCATCTCCTGACCCACAAGAAGTGAAATACCAGAAAATGCCTGCTTATAACTCTCCTGATTCATATGCATCTCTGTATGACTTATCCTTCTGTTCTGGATCTAGTCGAATCATGTCATCAATACGCAAGATTGTGATGGCAGCCTCAGTTGCAAACTTCAGGGACTTGATTTTGGAGACTGCAGGCTCAAGGACACCAGCTTTTCTGTTGTCACGGACTATTCCCTCATGCAAATCCAGTCCAACCCTGTGGATGCACAAACAGAACCTCATCGTGTCATGTTGGATTCACGGTTCTCACAGCACAGCCATGAAGAGTTACATCTTCTAGGATATAAATATAAGGCCATGTAGTCTGGTAAACGCGAACTGACATTTTAGAGTTATGTTCATATGAAATGTCGGTCAACACTAATGAGACTATGTCGCATTATTTCTCAGAAAAAAAATTCATCTTCATCAACCATATTGTCACGTGTTGGGGGTATAACACGACAAATAACTTCATGCCGTATTGGATATAGTGAATTTTATTTTGCACTCACTCTTACAATCACACAATTCACAATTTCACAACTACTGCCATCTGCAGTATTACAATTACTTAGCCTGTGAATGTTAGACTACAACTGATTGGTTGACTGACTCCCTGGCTAACTCATAACTAACTTGAATAGTCTTCGCTGCTCCTTATTTAGCCCCATTACGGACAACACAGAAAACAGTTACGTAATAGGCACCAATGTTGTCTGACGCTGTGTTTGCCGATAGCGTAGCAACACTGTCGGGAGTTGTTTACAGCTGCATAGCAACCATGGCATCCCTTGGTCATGTCACCGCTGGCAGGGTAGGGGAAGGAGTGTTGACTTGCCTGTTACCCTAGTAACGACAGTGCTCCAATGGTGTTACGTCACCGCTGGTGTGGGGAGGGGTGTCCTGCATAGCGCAAAACGTCACAATATGTTCCATCTGGTTTTTACAATCATCTGTTACAAATTTTCCTTTGTTACATTTTGTCAAAACTGCTTTCATACCAGAATTCCTGGGTTTAGGACTGGCTGCAACCAGTGTGGAATTCTTTTCTGACTCTGCTTCCATAACCACTGAAAAAAGACCTCTGTTTATAGGGCCCACATTAAGTTCATGGTCTAGGCCGCACCATAGCTCAAGCGGTTAGTCGCTGGCTTCCCACCGCTGTGGCCCGGTCAAGTGGGATTTGTGGTGGACAAAGTGGCGCTGGGGCAGGTTTTCTGCAAATACTTCCGTTTCCCCTTCCAATCTTCATTCCACCAAATTCTCCCATCATCATAATCACCCGGGGCAGGCTATGATAGGCCAATCAGTGGATGCCGTGCCAAGTGGACCCAGTTGGACTCCCCCCCACTAAGTGAATTAAAAAAAGAAGTTCATGGTCTCCTGTACTGATCATAATCCTTATCTATGTGCTAACACCTACCATTATTGCCACATTTCTGTAGCTGATAAGCAAATACATTTCCCTCTCCCCAGTACAGCACTTACCACTTGAAGTGGGCATGGTCCACTTTGGTTTGGCTTGAATTGTGATAAGCTCGCAGCTTGGCTACCAGGTCAGTAGCATCTTGCGCAGCATTGACAGCCAGCGTCTTGGGAATCACAAGTAGAGATCGTGCAAACTCTGCTATCGCCAGCTGCTCACGTGAACTCTACAGGGAAGACAGGCTTACATATAATGTATGACAGTGATTTGAGGGAAACTTTTGAAATAACACTAGGATCACAGAGTATGGAAATGCCTAAACGAAGAAGTACACGAATAGCAATGCTTAGACCAGGCCTACACTAACTTCCTATATATCTCGATTTCACTGCTTGAGACTTCTCAGACATAACCTTGAACGTTTTTGTCAGTACCATATGAAGTTTTTAATACACAAAAGTAATAAAATACATGTGTACATATATTTATGATTTATTACCATACAAAATTCTGTACACATATTTACAGTGGAGAATTACCTCTCCCCATCAAAATAAAAGTTAATATAAATTTTGTTTAATACCATGCTGTTATTTTACAAATCACTCCATGACCCCTAGTCCTTCTTGAGAAACTAACAGTTGCTCAGGTGGTTAGATACATCATGTTGTTTGTAAGAACCCACTAGTGGTTCCCATTCTGAGCCAGCCCACACTATCCGATCCTATTTCTTCACAATCCATTTTAATATTATCCTCCCATCTATGCATGGGTCCTCCCTGTGATCTCATTTCTTCATGATTTCTGACAAGAACTTTTTATACAGTTCTCCCCCCATACAAATTACGTGCACTGCCTATTTCTTCCCCCCCGACTTGATCATTCTAGTAATATCTGGCAAGGGGTTCAAGTTATGAAGCTCCACATTAAGGACTTTCTCAAGTGTCCTATTATTTCCTTCCTACTAGGTCCAAATATTCCCTTCAGCACCCTGCTCTCAAACACACTCAATCTATATTAGAGTCAATTTTACCGTTATTACACTACATGTTTCGACCTCAAGAGGTCATCCTCAGGTGTACAAACACAGCTGTATAATTACACTCATTTACATTCATCTTTTTACTTATTCGATCCTGTATCTTATTCAGGCCCACGCTCAATAATATATCAAGCTCCTCTCATAAAACACAAGTTAAAATATTATTCTAAATGTCAAAAGTTAAAATTTGTGAATCGAATTTCAATTCAGATCACTAGTTATGCTTTCACTTTCACTTGTTATTCATTCACTTCCTACTTATGTTCATCGTCGAGTTC